GGCACTAGCTCATCCGATTTCAGCCGTATTGGTGGTCTTACCGGGTATTTTAGAAAAAACTCATAAAAATTTATGTAAAATTCCAAAAAATAAGAGCGATTTCAGCCGTATTGGTGGTCTTACCGGGTATTTTAGAAAAAACTCATAAAAATTTATATAAAATTCCAAAAAATAAGAGATTTGTTTGTAAAGTGTTTTTTAATATATTTTTTTTTATCATTTTGGCAATGATTGGAAAGTGGTTTGGACATGGATACTTCTTTTTATCTTTTCCTATATTTTTTAAAAAGAGCAAAAATACATCAGGAAATAAATTGATTTTTTAAAATCCATTTTTCATTAATTTTTAACTTCATTTGCATGTGCTTTATGTATATTTTTCATATTTTTTAGATTTTTTTATATATTTTTTATTTTTGTAATATTTTTTGGACTAGTCAAGACCTGCACAATTAGATCGGTTAAACCTGCCGGTTACTTGGAACCTGCCATTGGCAAGGGTATCAACGAGGTATTTGTCAACGGCTTCGGTTTGTCTGAGGCTGAGGCTTTATGTTATGGAAAAAGTTTATATAAGGATGCAACCTTATAATATAGAACTACGGATGCACCCCAAAAATCCATCGAAAAAGGTAGTTTTAATGTTGAAAAACCCTTTGATTGATCATCTCAACATCGAGATGTATGACCATGAAAAATAAGAAGATTTTAAGTCTCTGAAATAGTGCATTTTACACCATATTATCTACACTGTCCATTTTCAAGATTTTCATATGTTCATCGATCTACTTGATTTTAACCATTTTTTAAATTTAAAATTTTATAATTAGATATAAAAATAGATTTTGAGATAATCCTAAGAACATTTTACATCAAAATTATATACCATGATAAAATTTGAAGGTGCACATTACCTCTACAACTACATATGCATCTGTATCCCAATTGGACCCGTATGTTGTAGCAGTGTTTCAGAACCTGGATCCGTGGAAGGTATCATTTACCCATATATTTATGTGGGACCATTGCATCAATGATTTAGATTGGGTCTGGATTAGTCTGAAATAGTGATCTAGATTATATCAAAAAATAATAATAATAAGATAAAAATTTAAATAGGAGTTTATCAGATAAGGGTTAAAGAGTTCCTAAGACAATATTGACGCAATAGAAAATTTGCCGGAAGCCAACAACCAACAAATACAATAACATTTTAGGTAAATTTATATCTATAAGAAAACATTAAATAAACTTATGGGATTTTATACAATGATACCGTTTACCACTGCTACATGGAGATCACAATTACTTACAACTATTCGATGTGAACTTTGATAGGTTAGGTATCTCACAAAGTTCGAGAAATTTTCTTTTGAACTTTGAGCTTGGTCAATTAAATAAATGCAACTACCTAATTTCACAATCCAATGGTCAAGATTAATAGTGACCACCTTGTACCAAAAGTAAATGGTCTCATTATATATTTTTCCTAAACTTATATATATTTGAGACCCATACCATATTGGAACCGGTTTAGTCCCGTCTAATTTCCATCTAAATCGCAATCTAGATTGAAAATCACATGGTTTTAAAACATTGGTTACAAAGTAAAGCCGCATCTCAAAACCTATAAAATAATATGGGTTCATTATTAAAAACCTCTTTTATGATCTAAAAATCTATTTCTGCTCCTAATATTGAAATTTGAAGAACTAAAATTGGTCTTGATCTAGTAGATCTATAAACACTTGAAAATCGATGATTAAAATAATATGTTATATGATAAACTAATTTAAGGGTATGATATCCAATTTAATTCATGTTCATAAATGTCAAGATTTGAGGCTTTATATATATTATGAAATTATGAAATAATAACATAATTATGGTTAATTTTATAATAATAGTATTATTATCATTATCATAATAATAATTACATTAGATAATAATAGTTATTAAATGATAACATAATTATTGTTAAGTATATAATAATATGATATCCAATTTTTTCATGCTCATAA